AAATTACCCGAAGTCAGGTTTTAAACGACTGATTTTTAGAAGAGGGGAAAAACGACTGATTCAGGATTTAAAGCATAATGTGTATGTCATAAAAATGCAACAATGTTTGCGTAATTTGGATAAATATTTTGGTTTAAAAAACTCCAACCAACTTTATCCTGCCACATGAAGATGCTAGTCACCACTGGGGACTGTACCCAAGCTGTTGGTGTTGCACTTGAACAACATATTTATGATTCAGCTGGGTAACACTGTTCTTATATGATACTGCTGATTTTAAAATGCACATGCGGGCACTCCCCTAGGCCCATATCTATAAACAATATTCATTCTTTTTAATCTTCACCAGGTGTATCATCATACTGACACAGTACAGTTTTACTTGAGAGCTGTTGGACGTTTTCTATGATGTCCTTTGATTTCACCAGAGGCAGCATTGGTGGAAGGCTTGTCTCACTCTGAGTCTGCTAACTTGGTGAACACAGAGTGCACAATCCCTGCCAAGACACGGCCTGCTGCAGAAAATGCCCCACAAGAGGTTTGTTTAAGGAAGCTGCACTTCCTCATTTGTGTCTGTGTGTGGTTATGATGTAATAGTTTGAGGGGGATGCTAAACTGACTTCTGCAAGTCATCGTCTCATACACGAACATAGAAGTTTTCATTTAAAAGTGAAAAAAGTCAGAAAGTTTTGTATGTGTGTGGTTTCCAAAAGTTGGTCGAGGTGAAATAAAATAAAAGAACACAATCAGTTTGATATAAGAATAATAAAATGTTATTATCCTATCAGAGATGGTGGTGTGGTGGCTAGCTCATCTGCCTCACAGGATGAAGGTCCTGGGTTTATGTAGAGTCTGGGGCCTTTCTGTGTGAAGTCCAAAGACATGCAGTGGGTGATTGGTTATTCTGAATTGATTTTAACTGTGAATACTTTTTCTTGTCTTGTGCTATGGCCCTGCAACAGATCGATGTATAAAGCATATAAAAAAGTAAATCTGCATATATTGCTAATGCTAACTTTCAATGATATGCTAATGTTAGATATTTTTGAAACCTGAATAGTAAGAATTCTTTTCCCTTTTTTTGTTTTTGTTTTACAGCGATGGGTGTGGAGACCTGCAGTTCAAGAACCTGAAAATCTCAATCGCTCAGGTAGATCATGTTTCTATGAATGATTGTGTGAATGATCTCTGGACTGATACTACATGATGTCATACTGGGGAACCAAAATACATACTTTGATCACGCTGCAGTCTTTTTTTTCGCTTTGTTTTTTGAATGCTGGATGATGTAATTATAGGTTTACTTTATCAGACTGCACACCAGTTTTTGAAGTCTGGAGAAATTTGGTAGCGTACAAAGATAACAAAGATGACATCTGGAATAGCAATAAGGAAGAAAAGTTTGAAAGAAATCACGTGTTAAGTTCTCTTGAGACTTTATTCACATTTAGGCACTTTAGCAGTCATCACTAGTTTCAACACGTTCTAGTTTAATGCAACGAGTGCTTAATGTACATCAGTGTGGATGCTTGCTGCAACTATTGATTCATGTCAAAAACACGTCACGACAAAGAAAGTGTTTGGAAATTAATGGATTAACAGCAGATGTACAATGTATGTTTTGTAACAATATCTTTTAAATTATATTTTATCATTGAAGGTTATGATGAAAGAAAATATGATCTTCAGCCATTTGCCACTCTGAACAAAGCCACTCTGAGCCTGCACGGGAAGTCAGTGGTTAAGTTGGGTGCACCATCACTGCTGAATGACTACTGTAAGAGAAAATGAAGCCCTAAATGACTTTTACAAATACTGTTTTTTTTT